AAAGAAGCCCGACTTTTAATTTTTAAATTTTACGTCCAAAAAATAATTCGAAAAGCTAACTAAATGGGCATGGTTTAACATGAAATATTATACTAAGTTTTACASATATAAAAAATCGGRTATCTTACAGAATCARRTATGAAAAATATTTTCTTTATTATTAAATAAATATAAAATAATTGGTGCAAAAATAAATTATGAAGATTAAATAAAAAAGTTTAATAAATAAAAAAATTCACACTCRRCATACCRCGTRCGTTGAGCAATGAGCAGCAAAACAATAACAGTAATTCGGTACTATATATTTAAATATATATTTATATAACCTGTGGTACAACGGCTGAATAGTGTCAAAAAAGTCAGGTGTAGTTAATAAACAATAATTTCTTATAAAGCCTTATTTTCCCTATCCGTGGCGACACTGATTTGAGGTAGGTTTTGATTTTTCGCATTTTTGAGAATTACATGGGCCGAATAGGGAGTGCACCATCGGGTTTTATATAATCTGTGCTAGTACAACAATTTATTATACTATGCACTTTTGGTACATTTTACCATTGGAACATAGGAATGAAATGGAACGAAGGAACGAATAGGAACGTTCGGGTGAAATCGTCCTAATCGTTCCTCTACTGGACTCGTTCATTTGGAACGATTCGTTCAGGAACGACCCATCACTAAAACGTAGTCTCGACAAGACGTAACGAACACCACCGGCCCACTCATTCTGCGGTCCGATCAACCTCGTGGTCAATAGTCGATTTATAGTTTTTTGTATTGTCATCCATACTCGTAATGTACGTGATGTCGGGCTAAGCGACGACGTCGGGCCTGATGTCGGGCTAAGCCTCCGTTTTTTTCCAGTGACCGACGCCGATGGGCCATGTCGACCACGTGTCTTGGGGGTCGATGGCCAACTGGCCAGCCTATCACAGCCGTCGGTCATCCACACTTTCGTCATCCAGCCACAACTCAAGTCATCATCATTTGTGTAATGTACAAAACTATTTCCCCCAACATTCCCCCCTTTTCATTTTGATTATGTATCACAACTTTTTCTTTTCTTTTTTCATTTTGATTATGTATCACTACAACGTATTTCTATTTATGCTCCATTTTTCCTCATAGGTGCCCCGGTAACCGTCATGCGGAGCCGTGGGTATTTTCCTTTAACACATGTAATAGTATAATGTGTCATACCGACGTATGATGATTATTCCGTGCCGGTAACCGCTTGTCGGAGCCGTAGCATTATATTATATATCTTTCCCTGTATTTTGTGCATTTTGCCATGTGCATTATATTATAATATTATATACTTTTCCCTGTATTTTGTGCATTTTGCCATGTGCATTATATGTTTTAAATATTTCATCTATATTTATTTAAACAAGTATGCCCATCTTTATCTCACATTGTAAATGTATTTAGTGAATACTAGTATAACATATAGACATTTATTTACAAATAATGTATGTATGTTATATATGATTATTGAAATTTTTGAAATTCTAAAATAAAAAGTATATCATATTATGTTTAATGTTACCTACAGCTATGGACCACCCACAAAAAAAAGGCAAGCGCTTCGAAATACTCAGCAACTAGAGTTTATGGTAGATTATCTTATCCAGCATCCAGAAGTTGCTACAGGAAAGTTTATAACATTAAATGCCAAAAATAAATTGCAAGGTTCTTGGGAAGAACTAGCAACACATTTAAATAATATGAGAAACTCAAACCAAGCGATTAAAAATGTTAAATCATGGAAAGAGGTTATTTTGTTTCTTTAAATATTTTTATTTTAACTTTATAAACACACATTAATTATAATAGTAATTTTTAAACGATAATCAATCATAAATAACAATATTAGTTATAAACATTACCTAATTCAAATTGTATTAAATTACAAATATTTAATTTAAGCACTTCTATGTAACTTATACAGCATTTAATKTCAACAATTCAAATTGTAATTTAAATAATGCAAAATAATTTTTAAAAAAGTTTGGTCAACTTTGTTATCATTTACTTGTGCTTGTGCAAATAGTAATTACATTAAAAGTGATTATTTTGTAGTAAAGAAGGAGGACTAAAATACTATGTAATTGTTGATTTAAAATAATGTAATTTACAGAAGGTTATATTACTATAATACCACACCATTGCCCATTACAATTTCTCGATTTGTCTTTAATTTGTAGTCATGGAGAGACCAAAAAACCAAAACTTCCAAAAAAGTAGGAGCACTCAGAGCAGCTCGTGTGAAAACTGGAAATAAAAAAATAGATCTTCCTCCATTAAGTGATTTGGATAAAAGTCTTTGGTTTGATGGATCATGATTATGTTGAAGGAACTGAATGTGCAGACTCTTGGCCAGAGGAACAAGTATTATAAAATATCAATAAGATTTAATGCTTTTAGAGTTCTAGAAATTTACTTATCTTATTTTAGGAGGATAATATTGAACGTTAAATGCTGGAGATCAAGGGATATTTGATGCTGAACCTCCAGTGTTAACTTTGAGGCAAACTACCGATATAGATCCAGTGCCAGGTTTGTATTGTTATTTATTCATTTTAATGATTGCATCTTTTTTTAGTTACAATAAATGAGAACATAAATGAGCTGGATGAATTTTTAGCCACAGTTGAATACAACTATGTAGTACTACAACCTTATTGTGAAGAGATTACATCAAAAAATATTTTACAAGAAACTTAAATTTCAACTTCCATAGGACCATTCCAATCTACTCCAAAAAGTAATTTACTAGCAACTCCAAGTTCAGCTTCAATAGGACCATCTCAATCAATTTAAAAGAAGCAAAGTAAACATTTTTCATTATACAGGGTGATTCGTTTATCAAACAACACTCATTATTTATAAAAGTATTAACTTTTTTCAAAATATTGTTTTACATAGTTTCAAGTTGTTAAAAAACCAACGCTTTTATTAAAAAATTATATTTTTAAATATTTTTTATCCTTATCATTTTTTAAGTTTTTTACTTTTTTGAATGGCAACATAGTTTTTTAATTTCATATTCCAAAGCAGAATATTTTTCTAAAAATTTTGATACATAAAAATCGAATTTAGGACTAGTAGTTTATGAGTTATAAGTATTTAAAGTTTAGACAAGCGGAGTAGTGGACAAACATTTTGCGGGGTAACCCCGTACCACTCCACTCTGCCAATCTAAACTTTAAATACCTATAACTCATAAACTACTAGCGCTAAATTCAAAATTTTAACGTAATAATTAATTTAAAAAATAGCTTTATTAAATTATGAAATTTGAAGTATAGGTTACCATTTGAAAATCAAAAGTCGATGGTGGTGTATATAATAAATATAAGGGTGAAAAATATAAAAATAATAAACAATTCAAGAAGAGTGTAAATCTACAATTTTGAAAAAAAAAAAAATTGAAAAAAGTCAATACTTTTTTAAATAATGAGTGTTGTTTGATAAAAGAATCACCCTGTAGTTGTAGTTTAATGGGTAAATTCTAATATAAATATGTACCTATGTACCTATTTTTAAATTAAAAATAATATTAATTTGGTGTAGGTATTGTATATTTTTTAAAACTAAATTATACAAAACATTTATTGATTGGTTTTTATAGTGTTGACAAATAATGCGAAGCAAGTGAAATTAAGTAATCAACTACAGACAGCCAAAGATGCGTTCTCATCGATTGCTGAAAAAGAAGTTGAGCAAATTTTAAAATATCTGATGCGCTAACCACTATTGCTACAGCATTGGAAAAATTAGCAGATAATGATAAAAAAGATTGGAAACAAAAAACTTATAATAGAAATCTATACTAAAATTATAGATAAACTATACATTTTTGAAATTCCCATTTCAATTCCTTACTAAATTTATGTTTTTATGATAAATGGTTTATCAGTTTATTTTAATAATGTTTATAATTTGTTATGCTAAATTGCTAAATAAAAGTGATTAATATATTTGTTATGTAATGAAAAAGAATGTATAATAGATTATTTAAAAAATGTTAAAATATAACAAATACTACAGTTTTAACTTTAAATGCATTTTTATTGATCATTGTTTCCATCTCTATAGTTTTCAAACTGTTCCAACATTAATTGCTTTTGTATATGTTGAGCAATTGCTCGAGATCCTCTTTCATTGCCAATGAGAGCTGGGTCAATTTCAGGTTCATGTTGATTTGCATGTAATTCATCTTTATTGGTTTTTTGATAAATTACATCAAAATCTTCAAGAGCAGGTAGATTGCAGTGGATACGAATATTATGAAGAGTAGCACATGCATTGACAATTTTACCTGCCATGTCAGGTGAAYACATAAGCACTCTCTGATAAGACAAACATCTCCACATGCTTTTTAACACCCCAAAAAATTGTTCTACTACATTCCTGGCTTTACAAATTTTCTTAGTATACTCAAACTGTCTAGTACCTACCTTCTGGATAGTGTGGCAATGGAGTCATCAGCCATAGTTCTAACGGATAACCAGCATCTCCTTAAATATAAATTTATAATAACAAAAATATAAATAATTATCTTAGTTTAAAATATCTTAAATACCTATTAACAGTATTAACCATGTTTGGCGTTCACCATTATTATAAGGTACTCCATTCCACGACGCACAGGTGACATACTCCAAATATACGAGTCATTTCTAGCACCAGGGTATCTCGCATTAATATTTAAAACTTATAGTTTTTGAATTTACAATCTATGATGTAGGGCATGTGTAATTCAAGGTATAAAAAACAATATTTGTAGATGAAAAAACTTATCTTACAGCTTGCACATTTAATGAATGTTTACCGTGATGGTTAACATATGCTTCTTCATGTTGCCGAGGAGCAAGTATATGTATGTATGTACAATCAATGGCACCAATTGTACCTTCAAATGGTTGAGGAGCGTTTGCAAAATTTTCTCGAGCTCTTTGTCTTTCAGTACCAGTCATTGGAAATTTAATCAATTTTCATAACAGACGCTGATTTATAGCTTCAGTAACATAATGTATGCATCGACTAACTGAAGGTTGGCTAATATTTAATATACTATTACCACCTAATCCTTTTTGGTAACTCCCTTGTGCATAAAAATGAAGACTAACTAATACCTAAACAAATATATTTTTAATTTAGGTAATAGGCAATATTGTAATATATTTAAAATATTTTTTTAATTAAGTATTTGGAAACTATTTTAAATATTGTTTTATGCATATTTGTATTTGAAAATCAAATACTTCTATGTAAAATCTTTTCAAAATTGAATAGAATTATTCATTCATCAAAACACATTTCAATTTGTTTTTTGATAATCATTATATTATTTTTTTTTTCTATTCATAGCTTCAACTGCTAAGGTTATTAGCTTATAACAAAATTAGTATTAAGTACATAGTAAAATATGGTTATACAATAGGTTCTTAAATTAGATTATACATATCAATTTGTTTTAAAAATGTAATTATTTTGTTGGTGTTGTCATAGGTAAGGCTGAGGGCTTCAAAGAGGTTGTCAGGCAATTTTAGGTTTTTTGGTATCTATATGGATACGGCAGTGGATAAGGAGATACTTGACTGTGAGATTCTCCGCAGGTTAGACACATTACAGGTTCTTCTCTGTGCATAAGATGTCCATGGGACATCTTTGAGTGACCTATACATAGTCTACTGATAACTACTTCATCTTTACGGATTATATTATTATTTTATTTATAACTAAAATTAAATTACTAAACATTTAATAGAATATTTATTTATTTTATATTCCATTAACAACCGCTTATTTTTAATTTGTATGAAAGTTCAATATTACAATTTTTTATTAGAGTATTATCATATTTTTTTAGTATATAATGAGGTAGCTAGGTTGTATATTATACCAAGTTCTAAATGAGACATTACAACTTTAAATTATTAACTATAAAATTAGTTTTAATATTGGGTTTTACAATTAAAAAGTATTTAAACACATGTCAAGAATTTGTTTATGTTCTTAAATTTTCTTTCTGATGTATTTTAAATACTTTCTGATTTGTATCTGTATTTAAATCAGTGCTGTAAAATATTTGAGTAAAAGTATTCAAAAACTTTTTTAAGTATTGAATAACTTTTTAAATACTTTCAGCATGAAGTATTTTCATTGGTACCTACATTTAGATATTTTTATTATATTAAATACTATTTGTATTTAATACTTTGATTTTTTCTAACATTTTATTTGAATATTTGTTTKGAAAAATATTATTGCCAATTACAATAATTGAATAATAATTTTATTTAGTATTTTTTTTTATAGATACTTGTAATTCAGGAGATAAACCAGATGTTCTTTTATGCTGTAATGATGTCCTCAATGCATCAATTATATTTATAACCAATTGTTGGTTCAAACAAAATGCACCCATGAATTCATCATATTTTGGTAATTCAAAAGGATTTTGACTATCCCTAAGTATTCTTCTTTCTAAACGTCTTCCAATTATTAGAACTCTTTCTTCCAAAAAAATCTGTTCCCAAGACAAATAAGCAAGAGCCATATTTGGATTAAAAATTTAAAAAAAAAAAAAAAAACAATGCATTTAAGAAAATAATCGTTTGTATTAATTGTTATTTGATCATTGTTCAAGTAAGTACTCAAAAGTCAACGTTTTTCCATGACAATTAACATTTATTTCGTCATGTTTATTTTATAATTATCATTTTGAAGAATGAGGAATTGAGGAAACACTTAAGACATAATATTATGAATATATTTCGTTAAACGTTTAGCGAGGGGTTTCAATGTGGCACTATCGTTAAGGTCCATTATCAATTTTATTAACGACAAATCTTATCTTCTCTACATCGTGGTTATCATCATAAAATAAACAATGATAGTAAAATAACTAATAAGAACACTGAACAGATGGAGTCGTTCTCTCGTTCTACTCGTTGATCGTTCACTCTTTCATTTTCATTTCTGTGGTCAAATGAATCATGATAAAAATGAATAATATTTAATAATATAAAAATAACTAATATTTCTGTAGTAAGTTGTTTAGATAATGAAATGTTACTGTGCGTTTTGTGCCGTTATTACTCGCTACGTGAATCGCACTATAAGATGTAAAGATTAAATTAAAAATAGTAATATTATTTTACTGGAAGAATTACTGTAGTGTTGGTTAAAAACATAAACATAAATTGCTTGTATAGACTCACCACTGATTATAACTTTGTGTTAGTTCAAGTTGGATCGCCGACTGCCTGTCGTCCTACACGGTTCGCCGTTGTCGAGTCGTATCGATTGTTTTCCGCCCCCGCGTGACACTCGTGGATTCGACGATATAGTTATTGTGACATTATTATTATAGTAACTACCGTACCGTCTTGTTGCTAAGTTATTGTACGTTGTTTTAAACTAAATATTTTCTCTACTTCCAGTGAATTGAACGAGTGTCTTAACTGATATTTTTATATTGTACCTGCATGACACAGCCGTAATTACTGTTACCTGCCTGCTGAGGTGTGTGTGCTGCCTACGTACTATTATAGACAAGAGATTCATTATTTTGTTGCTGCCATCCCTCACAAGATCCACTTTCCGAATATGGATCAAGCACCTTATGATAAAGGTACCTTGTGCGCATTCTTATTTTATTATTATGACAACCAACTTATCTCTATGGAACATTTTTATATTTTTACCCTATGTAAAATTATAATGGAGTAACATTATAATGCTCTCTAGTGCTACCAAATCCTTATACAGTATTAGGTTCTCATATATAGTTATTATTGTTATTATGATTTTTTCTAGACAGCTATTGATTAATCATACTGAGATGAATAAATTTCAAGGTCAATATCGAGCATTATCTAGATCTTCACAATCTACTGTTCATCTATTTTGTTGGTATTTGACTCGTAGGTTGTTATTAAATTGTGTTTGCTTAAAGTCTCTATGATCTACCTATAGATAGATACTAGTATACTACCATTATATTAGTGTTAAATATGTTTTATTTGTTTTATTTAATCATTGTTTTTCTTTTTAACTTTTATCTAAATACATAATTTTGTAGTTTATGTTCTTAACACTATTGACATACAAAAATTGGTAAGTAGCTAAATAAAAAAGTTAGAAATTATTTTATTAATTTATTTGCATGAGAAATGTCTATGGTTGAATATTTTTTTCCATAACTAAAAACAATCCGTGACTAAAAAAATTGTTTGCTATAATCATAACTTTGTGATACGCATACCACCCTTACCTCATCCATCTCATAGTTGACCGTTAATTAGGTTAGGACTAAATTAAATTTTTATTTATTTCAATATTTGTATAAATTTTAAACCTAATAAAGTTAAATCTATGTTTGTATTCTTTTATTCATATTTATTCTTTTTTTTTTTATTATTGTTATAGAATTTCCAAAAGAAAATGAAATTATTGAATTGTTACCATGCATTATATGCAATCGTTCATTTCGTCCAAGTTTATTACAACGTCACTCAAATATATGCCAAAAAAATGCTAAAAGACGTAAGGTACCATTTGATTCATCGAAACAGCGTAGAAAAGATACTGAGATGGCAGCATATTTACCGCATATGAAAAAAGCTCAAGATGCTTATATTGGCATAGAAAACTCTAAAAAAAACTGGAGAGCTAAGCATGAAGAACTTGTTAGAGCTGTTAAAGCAGCACGAGGTGAAAAAGTCGATAATAAACCTATAACAATTAAACCTATTGACTCTGAAGAATGTCCACATTGTTCACGGAATTTTGGACCTAAATCGTATGATCGACATGTAGAGTTTTGCCGAGAAAAAGCTCAAAGAATATCTACTGCTCCAGTGATAAGTCAAGTAGCTAAAGAACGGCTTGAAGCAAGAACAAAGGTTAGTATATTTACTCAAAAATGTAATAGGTACCTTTCTATTTTTAATTCTTAATTTTGACTGAATTAAAAAAAAAAAATGGCTTGTTTATTATTTAATAGGTATTTTTAATTATTTATATTTTTAGTACMGGGCTCCCCCACTTAAGTCACAGCGTACAGTTACTAAAGAGAAGTATTCTCCAAAAGTTAAAACTTTTACTCGAGATGTTTCAAGTGTACCAATAAAAATGATACAGCCATTAAAAACTAATAAAAAAAGAAGCCCACTAAATAGAAATATTTTATGTAAGTATATTTAGTATTTTTTGCCTTCAAACTATATATTTTTAAGTCATCCATCAAAAAATCATACATAAGATACCTACTAATTTTGTATTTTTTTTTTACTTATACTCAATGACGAGCATGTAGTTTATTTATTTATTTACTGGTTTATTTCAGTCAAGTATTCTAGTATAGATACATTCAACATTAATATTATTTGATGTAAATCAAACAGAATAAGAGAATAAGAAATATCTTATAGTTGGGAAGTTTTAATGAACATAAATTATAATATTAGTATAGACTAGGTATTTAGTTAATTTGTTTCCTTAAGTGAATGTAGAAATCCTATTGTATTATAATTTGATATCTGTATCTGTAATATACCCCCATTATCTGACTGTAAGTTAACTTTTATAATACACATATGTTATTATAAAGAAAGGCATAGAGTTAATTATATAAAAAAAAATATCATTACATTATAATATGGTTTCTATTTTAAATTTATATTGTAAAAACTATGATATAATGCTAAAGGCATCAACATGAATATTATTTGAAAGTAGAAGATAAACATTTAACTAAGATATTAATATTAAATTGAATTAATTTTTTTAGCTAATATCCCACGTCAACAGTCGACAGTAGTGAAAAAGAAAGACCAAATTCCAAAAGTTCATCTCTATGAGTAAGTACAGTTATTATGTAAATATTTTTTATAATTTTTAAATTAATTGAGTGTTTTTCTTCTGGGGATAGAAATTCAATGTACTTGCCCCAAAATTCAGATATGAAAAATGAAACCGTTATGAAGAAATCTGAATCGGCCTATACCCTTAGTTCTCAAAACAACATAAAACATAAAGTTAATAAGATGGTCAATAATTTTAACCAAAAAAAAATATCTAAGTCGTGAGTGGAAAGTATAATGTATTTAAATATTTGAATAAGCTGTTAATTGATTGGTAATTAAATTGTCTCATTCGGATTCATAAATACATATTTAAAAAATATTGCATTTCATTTGTTAAAAATGAAGATAATATTGTGTATACAAATTACTGAAAATCAAAATCTCATATTACTACATGTTTAACAGAATTTGAAGTCTAAAATTATTTAAAAACACTTGCTCATTTAAGGTCACCATTATTGTATGTTATTTATTGAGAATTGTAAAGTATTGATGATAAAAAATAAATAAGAATGAAAAATAAGACTAAAATAGTAAAATACCAATCTAAAAACCTAAGAATAATTATACTCCCTTTAGTTATAGCTTTTGTGTTTTCATACTTTGAACTGAAATGTTATTAAAAAAAAAAACCCAAATATAAAGTTTATAGTTGACAATAACAGCTAGTCAAATACAATGAGTGTCAAAGAAGAAAAACATCATGGTTAGTATAACTATTGAACTATTGAACATGTTGAGTTATATACATTTCTTATCTTAATTATTATTTAACTTATCAAGTTATTAACATAAAAAATAGAATGAATTTTATTTAAAAACAAAAAATACCTCGGTAGTCGGTACATCTAGATGACAAGATATCACTTAACTATTATATAAAGATTTGTATTAAATTTATTCAGAAACTAGCTGATAATGGTTCAAAACATCGAACAATAATTGTATTGCAAAAGATAATAAAAAACCTAAATCTATGCCACATTTATTATTATTGTATTAATTATAGTTTATTGATAAATAATTCTAAATAAGTGACCTACTTCCCAGATTTTAAGAAAAATATAAAAATCAAAGTTCATACCTTAGCTTATGTTATACAATTTTTAAAATTCCAATGCTAATATTGTGTACTGCATGAAAAAAATGTTGTTTCTAACCCTAAAATTGCTTAAAATATTTTTAAAAAAAAAAACAATTTTACTGTGGCTTTTTAATGATTAGAATTATTTATTATTTATACCTACTAAATATATAAATAAAAAATCTGGTAAGTCGTGGATGTCACTTTTCTGTACAGTAGGTTACAAGTGGGTTACTCTAATGGATGGAATTAAATTTTAATCCAATGATACTATATCATTGTATACGAAAAACGATTCTAAGTGGAAACGGTTTATCTGTCTAGGATATATTATAGATTATTAAAAATTTTCAAATCTTAGATATAAAATAAAAAGTTTTTATGAATTTCTAGCTTAAAATAATTTCCGAATTTTCATGATTTTTACGTAAGGTGTCAAAATTAAAATTTGAATRMTTKTAAAAAAAATTGTGACTATGTATTTTTTATATTTTTCAACTGCTATTGTAAAAATATGTAATGAGCCTTGTATTAAATTTTCAAGCTTTTCTACCCAACAAATACATTTTTATCAATATTAATTTAAAAAAAACTAATAATGATTGACAGTTGGATATGCCTATAAATAGTTCAACTGAAGTCGAATTTTTTTAAAAATTGCATGGTGGATTGAATATACAATTTTCCTTTTTTCATTAATTTTTAGTTTGTTTCTCCCGATTATTTAGAAAAATATTTAGAATTTTTTACTTTAGACCTCCCAAAGTATCAACTAGATTCACTTTCTGATTTAACAAGGTACTGAAGTCAAAAGATGAAGCACTTTTACTACCCCAAAACGTGATGACAGACACAAAAAAATAAAAACACATCATGGTAAAATCAATACATTCATCGCTCCGTTTAGAATCTAAAAACTATATTTAATATGTTGAAGTAAAAAGCATTTTTATATAATAATACCAACTATTTCACATTGAATGGCTTGAATTATCTTTATACACTTATTATTTTTATTTTTTTATAGCTTATCCTTTTTTGTTTTAATTTAAATCACACGTATGTATGTTTTTAAATAACTGACTAAAATGAAATCCTAAAACTGACAATAATTTTATTTTAATAGCTTGTATTTTATTGTTTTAGTGGTATGGTATTATACTTATATACTTAACAATCAGTTTAAGTAGTAATCTATCCTTTATATGTATGAATTAACGTAGTAGTCCTACAAATTTTTCCTTAAAAAACCTTATTTCTCAATTTTTAATTTTTAAAATCAATACAGCTTATTGAAAATATTTTATTTCAGTTTTGTAAAATATCAATACATTGTGATTTTTATTGTTTTAGCCAACCCCATTTGGAAATTTTTGACCTTCATTTAGATAGCTACGATCCATTTAAATCAGCTGAACAACAAATGAAAGAGCTTGATCTAGACATAGACATAATTGACATTGGTCTTAAAAATCCATTAAATTGTGCCCCATCTGATAATATTGAAAATCTTAAAATATCTCCAGCATCTGCATTTGTTAAGTATTTGCCAGTTTCCCCTTTAGAATCGTCTCCAGATAATATTGAAAACACATTTTCCAATGAATTTCACTCTGACACTAATCTTTACAGTCACCCACTACACAATCTAAGCAACTTAAGTTTGTGTTCTATTGTTAGTATTGAATCAGCTGATTTTAATAATAAAACTCATAGTGCTAAAGTGCAGGGTATGGATCATCCAAAAAGTCCTACAAAAGGAAACATATCTCATAAAGATAAAAAAAATATAGCTATTGAAAATATGCTATATGGTGATAATGAAAAAAATAAATCAAGTCTCAACTTTGATTTGGCGGAACAAGAACTTTTAAAATCTGTGTCAGAATTTGAAAACTTATTGAAAATAACAGATGACGATGATATAGTATCACCATCTTTGAATAGAACCTCTACCCTTAGTATGATCAACAGGATTAATTCAAATAGCAGTGCTGATTCAGCTTATGGAAGGTAAGGCGAGCAATCAATGGTGTTTCAATTGGCATCGAGTACTTGCACGGTTTGAGCTGGTTTCATTTGGAATCCAACACTTATTGATTTTAGCCAAAATCAGMCTAACACGGGTAGTTAACACATTAAAAATATTAACATATTTTATAATTATAGCACATTGTAACACAAATTTGATTATGGTTTTGCTTATTTAATCTGGATATAAACACCAAGTAAGAATATAATATTGGCTAATACATTATTTTTTTTTACTAATCATAAGTATTTACAAAGAATATATATATATATATTCATCCTAAAGTGTATTGTACTTTTGGCATCTGTAATTAAACTAAAGCAAATAATATATTCTTTAGATTTTGTGTTTGTTTTAAATAAATAATTAAAATATAATAGTTCACTCAAAATGACACCTAAAAACACATTATTATAAATTATCAAATAATTAATCGCTCAACACTGCCTAATATATAGTGATAGTTTATAAAATATCACATAGAATTAAATTATTAATAACGTTAATTAATCTATACTTTTATTAATAATTTCTAAAAATGTATTCTGAAAAATAATCTATTAATTTTACAAGTCATATACATATTTATATATATGTAAGTGCAGATTTTTGCACATGATTAATAACTATACAATTTTATATAAGTTAATTTATAGATATTGCCTGCCACAATATAATAATAATTTTTGTTATATATATATATATATATAAATATTTTTTATTTTTTATTTTTTATCAGCTTGAACAGAAAAACTGATCAGGAGGCAACTGAGAATTATAATACACTGCTAATATCTGCAAAGTTTTGTCATGAATGTGGATTCAAATATCCAATTGTTGATATTAAATTTTGTACAGAGTGTGGCATGCGGCGCATAATGTCATGATTCAGTTGCTTTAAATTCAATATTTTCATCTCATTGAGGATATTAAGAAAACAGGATTTACAATATGTTAAATTTGTAGTATTAAATATATTTTATATTTTTATACTTTTATAATTATAAACTATTTATAATCAAAAGCTAACTATTATTTATAATAAAAATTATAAAATTGCATTATTTTGCTAACTACAGTGACTGATTTAATAAATTGAAATTGAGCGTGTCTTGTCACTTAATTTATTTTATATTTTACTAATTCAACAAGTCAAGTATTAACAATTATGCAATTTCTGTACTACAGTATTACCAAGAGATTCACAATATTAGTTTTTATTCGCTTTCATTTTTACATTGTTTAAATGTCAGTCTCCTTCGTTAGAAATGTTTGAACAATAAACATACAATAATATTAACTTATATATTTTATAAATAATACTATTTTTTTAAATAACACTGAAATTTTACTTACTTTTACTTAATACTATTAATAAAATATCACTATACATTTATGTCCACTGCTAAATGGGAAGAAAAAAGTGTGTCTAAACATTAATAAATCACTAAAAAATAATTGTATATGATTAACTTTCCATTTTAAAAGTATTGAAACTTTATCTAGATTATATATTTATATTACACTAAGCAACCATCTATACTAACTACAAATAATAATATTTTTGATAGTAAATTAGTATAAATTCTTAATAATTTGTCAAATTATGTTTTAACCAAAGGTTAAAATTTTATTTTGATTATGCATTAAATATTTCACCTAAATGTATACAAAAACGTCAAAAACATTGATATTATCATAAAAAATTTTTACTAAAACATAAACTTCTACAATTTTTTTTTTTATTTATTCATTATTTGTTATTTTCAATTGTTTTTCATTAATTTTCATGCGTTAAATAGTAGGCTATAGTTATAGTAGGTTAGGTTAGGTTATAGCTATAGCTATAGTCATAATAGGCTACACATTCATTTTTTAATCATCTTTAAATATTAACACAATTCATCTATTTCATTAATGTAATGTAATTTTACAAATTTACTTATAATTTAAGATAACTTTTATAAAAGTGAATTCACTAACAATGTCCACTGTAATTTTGTCTGAGCATAGGTTAGTTACCTACCTTATTTTTAATAGGATACATTATGTCAAGAAGGATAGCAAATTAATAGGAACAGAAAGTTATAACAATTAAATGTATTATAAAATATGACTGTGTGGTGCTATAGAAATGCAGTGTTATTAGTAATAAAATATAGTTATTTACATAAGCGCAAATAAGGGGTACTGGGGGGCTAAGCCTCCTAAACTTTGTTCCCCTCCCTCAAAAAAACCATTACATTTACACCACATAATAAATGTCAATAAAGTGTCCAATATAAACTTAAGCTACAGCCCCCTACCCCCACTAAATTGCAAACACAATTTGTGACCATGGTTATTTAAGCTGTTCTTCAAAGATTACAAGATTAGGTATCATAATGCCTAATTTTAAACAAAACATTTCATGTTACTATGTTAGTGTATTAAGCCAACGAAAGCTATAACTGCTCATGAGTTATTTATTTATACTAAATTTTTTTAATTAACAGATTACCTCCATGTGTAACCAGTACATAGATTGATCCTTTTATATGATTAAATAATTAATATTAACAGTGGCGGCTTGAACTTTTTTCCCCTCGAATCACGTTTAATATTTTTACACCACCCACCCTAAAATATAGTTATTAGTTATTACTTATTATTGTACATTATCTGCTGAGTACACATTACGGCTATATATTACATTTATTATTTATAATTTAATACTTAAATTACCAACCTGCAAAAATGGTCCAGTCTACCTTTTCCAACCAT